TACCGTGACAACAAAACACTGGTTGGTCTACTCTAATAGCAGGGTGGATTGACTCCCACTAAAAGGCAGGTCAAGGTTATTGTGGCGACCTTTAGTTCTTCGGATTTTATCGAAGTCCTCTGCCATCGCAATTAGTACACAATGTTACTTTCCACGATACATTTAATGATAACGTGCAAAAATAAAAAAGATTGTTCAAGAGGTTCCATTGCAGTTAATAGCATAGCAAGATCAATAATATACACATTTCCACGAAACTAGTTAGTAAGTAATTCACGAAACTAAACCAGCACTCGTTTTTCATCACTATTCGGCAATTTACGATAATTTAGTCAAGTTTTACATACTACAGTCGATTTTTTAATAATTTTTTTGAAGACTGTTCTTAAATTACATCAGTTAATCGATCCACTTTAGCATTTTTGTATACGTTGATAACAAGCAAGATTATGGACTTTCGAAGTTGCAATCCCGCAGGACGGGAGCATCTCGTAAAGAAGCTAGTATATTAAGATTTCTAGGACGAGATGTGTGCAACACAGATATAGATGCGGAATGATTGATTGACTAGTCATTACCAATGCGTCAATGGCGAAGGTCATTAGTCCCGTACGTGTAGTGCATATTTTCATTGCAGGAAGTGGCAATAATCTTCTCCCGCTAGATGGCGACATATGGTGCCGACCTAGCAGTCGGCTAGCGCGGTTTTACTCAACCAGGTATCTCCCACTAGGGGGGACCACCCCAGCCGGAACAAGCTATTGGCTCCCGACTGCTCTTCCGGCATGTGCGGTAATGTAGTGCATGTAAGTGTGTGCGTGTGTGTGTGTGTGTGTGTGTGTGTGTGTGTAAAGGGTGAGGATACGACAAAGAAGAGGAAAGCAAGATCGCGTTCTGTCCCGTTCCCTTCTGTTAGGATACTGGTCCGACATTCACCTTGTATTGATCGTAGAAACTACGGAATATTACCAATTAGAGCAGTCAGCATCTACAATTGTCCTCCAGAGGCAGAATTCGACCCCGCTATCTAGCTCATGTCGAAAATCGTGCCATCGTCGGGGGGTCGAACCGTAAGACCTCGTGTACAGAGGCACTGCTGCGACATCAATTGAGCCGGTGAGATGTAGAACGAGTTGAGCGGTCGTTCGGTCACGTGAGCGGGCCCGTGTGCGTGACCCCACGACCGCACGCGTGCAGGCGCTGCGTACGCGGCACGGGTGTCGATGAGGCGAGGGCGTGCACGCGCGTGCCGACATGGCCGCCGCGCGCCTCACGCCCTCTTCGCACGGGCCGTGCGCCAACTGTATCTACTGCCTGACACTTTCGTTCTGAAGATCGTATAAAGCCACTTCCAAACGAACCGAACAAAAACTAACAAACTACTTCGTTCCACGTGGGTCAGGCGGCCCTTCCACGTTCAAAACAAGTGTCGTCAAATTTAGCAAGAATCTTTCTGAAATTTCCGAAAAATTTAGCACTTTTTCAAAGACATTAGAGGAAAATCACAACAGTAACACAAAAAAGGATTTTTTCGTCATTTTGAAGCACGTATTACAACACAAAACGCAGTTACCCTTAACATTTTTTTAAAAACAATTTGAACACTAATTACAATTGTAAACAAATTTAATAATGTAGTTCAAATAATTCATAATGTAAAACGAAGCCATAATTAGTTTTCATAAAAAGCAGATTTCCCCCTCAAAATATTGTTTATTCTTTATATCCTGTTAAAGAACACACTGAAGAGAATCGAACATCTTAAGCAAAAGGCATATCCTTCGACGCATCGGTGTAATGAATAAACCATGCGAATTAGTGAGCGGTCGAAGTCGTAGTGGTGCGAGCGACGAGGCAGGGATTGGGTAGCGCTCACTGCAAGAACGCCCTAAGTAATATGACATGCAACGCACGGTATGCAATGAAGCAGAGTAGAACAGCGATCATTGATAAAGTATGAGCGGTACACATGCATGAGGCATACATTATTAGAGAAGATTCTAATCAGAATTCTTGTTAGCAACTACATCATGCAGGCCTTACAAGAGATCGAAGAAAAATCATTAAATTTGAAGCTGTGAAAGTCCCAAAGTCATTGCTGAAAGCTGTAAACCTTGTTGCCAAAAATGTAAAACTTACGACAGCAGTATAAAATTCCATACTCTATCCTCTAACATTTCACGGAATATGTTTTAACGTTCCACCCGAGATGTGATTCTGACGCAGGCGACGCGAAAATCTCCATGAAAATGTCCCTGTTCACTCTCAGCTATACAAACCACGGCCAAGAAAATAAAATCGTTTGCTTAAATCCACAATAAGCGTTTTATTTATGAGTAAATAATGCAACAACATTATATTCTCACAAATTCAAAAGTTCCCCGAAAAAGTTTCTAGAATAATAGAGATAATGAAACTGCACTGAATTTTCCACAACGAAGCATTATCTTCACGCGAAACTAAAATATCCACCTCCTGTTATTCTGAAGTCTGGCTATTTCGTTCTAATAGCTTTCCTAGTACAACTCGGAAAACAAAATACCGCCCAGCCCTAAACAGGACAATGCTATTGTTAACTCGTTAGAATTCTCTCTGGGCGGTAAACGAGACGATTTTACGCTCATGACAAGCGCCAGAACAAGACTTAACAGCATGACTCCTGCGAATTCTACAATTAAAGTCTCGAAAGCAGAAATGATGGTGACATCATCCCGTGTTCGCCTCGGAAATCACAGTTGCGGAGGCTGTAGACACAGCATTCCAATATATGAGCGTCAAATAAAATTACAATTGTACTCTAATGGTAATAACGTGTTCTGATATATGTTCTCAGAACATTAACCTGAAGACGAAGTGCTGAATCAATTTCCAATTAAAAAACATCACAACTAATTAAAAATAAACCACTTATTTCTCCCTAATTACGTATCAGTTCGAGTGCTCAGAATAAACAATTATAGAAGAGACGAGTCATCATAGAATACCCAACATTGCTAAATTGCGAAATACTGAGAATAGAAATTGATGAAATGATGCGCATTTGTATGGCACATCTGGTCAACATATAGTTCATTAAGTTCTCGTATTTTACCGCAATTAGGTATTGTTCGAGCTATTTGGTTCTTTTATATTTCACCAGCTACAGGTTTTTCCGTGGTACTGTTTAGTACAACTGGACCGATATGTGATAAGAAAAGAAAAAGAATGAACCCAGCAAGAAAAGGATGTTAATTTTTCTTAACAAACATTTTTTTACACTTCAAATATATATTTTCCGTTCAATAATTGTTCAATGTTACAGTAACATTCCGAATAGTACATGATATCAATTATCAAAGCTCTCAGAAACGAAACAGATTCGAGTATCGAGAAATTCTGGTATGACTAATAACTTACTATAATAAACGTTTTGCACAGCTTTAGCACCGTATCATATATAGTACGATTTATTTAGTCGTGCACTTGACGTAAATCAGCTGTTGCGGTTTCATCCAATCAGGAGATTATATGTCGCTGCAGGGACGTTACTATGGGGACGTTCAAGACCCCGATTGGATGGAATAAAGTGAAGAGCTGATTTACGTCAAGTGCACGGTTAAATAAAACCTAGTACACCACTGATCTAACTGCGCATGCGTAAAGTCTCCAAGTGGCTTACACTAAAGTGCTTCGAGTTTTGCAAAAATGTTTAATAATATAAGGGAGCCCCGTGTTTGTTCATTCTTCGCGTGCCTTAAGGTATTAATCCGGCCTTGCCGACGCCATGTTCACAAGCCGAGAAGAGTTTATACGGGCAACACGAATCACGGAACGCATGCCGGGGCATTTCTTTGAAGTGCTCTCTTTCCAAGCTCTCAAATGATCACTTTTTTGAGACAGGCAGGCAGGGGCAGCTGATCTCAATGGGAATATGTTCAATAAAGTTCACTTAATGGAATATATTCATCCCGCGGAGAATTTAAAAAGAAGCCGTAAAATTTACTTAGTTACAAGATTGTTTCCCCACCATCATTACTATAAGCTTACTTCAATAAAAAATTTTTAAAAAAAGTGATACTGTAATATATTAAAAAGATATAAAAATCACGTAAATCACGAAAGTCTTTATTCACTGCTAGAAAATATGAAATTTTCTTCGGCTGATACACCGAACTTTGAGAATGTCTTACGGTAGCAAAAATTGACAGAAAGTAACATTTATCTTAGTTTCTAGTAATTTGAAGTATCTAGAATCAATATTTATGATTAAATAATTGCTGAGCGAAAAAATTTCTTTTTCTAGTCCAACCGTCGCGGCTTCGTCCAGACCACCGTGGGCCGCGGAGGCCCCGCCCCCCCCCCCTGCCGCCACGCTCGCTTCGATCCGTCGCCGAGACCGGGCCGCGACGCGACGCGACGCGACGCGACGCGACGCGACGCGACGCGACGCGACGCGACGCGACGCGACGCGACGCGACGCGACGCGACACTCCGGTGCCCCAATCTCCTCTTCGAGCCGAGATTTACGACTGCCGCGCCCCTAGAGACCCTGCCAAGGCCGGCGGGGCGGGCCCCGCGCGCGGAAATGGCGGCGAGGGTACCCGATCCGGACGGCGCAGCGCGGAGGAACAGAAGGCGAGACACAATTGAAGCTCTCGCTTTCTGCAATAACAAAAATTGTTTAGAAAGGAAAGTATAAAAAAATTACCAAACCTGATGAAAACTTGTGAATTTTCTTATTTCTTTGCTCTTTGTGGTTCGCTTATATGACTCAAAGATATTCATATTCTTCTATTATTTTTGTGCGTAATATTGCATATGTATATAACTTCTTTCCTTTCCCGGATCAAGTACTTCTAACACTCTTTTCTCTCTTATTTTTCTCTTTTTTTATTTTACCTCATTATTATTATTATTATTATTATTATTATTATTATTATTATTATTATTATTATTATGCAAGTAGTTTCAGCATGAAATAAGAACCACCCACGCCGCCTTTCTGTTCGTTGTTACAACACTCAGATTCTTTCCTTCCTCTATTTTCCAAATGACCTTTAGCACGTTCTAAATGTACTATCAAATGTTTCAAACTCGTAGAACAAATACATTTGAAGATACTGAACGATGAATAAGCTTTTGTATTTGGAGGTTTGCTCTCATTACAAGCATGCTACTTTTAAATCAAATATGAATTTGTATAAAAGTCACTACACCATTTTCTATAAAAGCGTGTAATTGAAAATCAGTTACTACAAAAGAACTAAAATTACACACACTGCACCTCGCTTCAAATAACACTTCTGACATGTTTCTGAGAAATCTAATGCACTCAGACAATAAAAGAATCGATAAAAGATGGTGTCGTACGAAGCAACTCCTTCAAAGCAATCGGCAACGGAATTGTAATGCATCTACGTTGTCACTTTATTTCCCTTTGAAATATTCAGAAGGTCACAAAACAACAGATTTTCGTTCCGAAGATATACAACATACGATCAAGCAATGAGATTGCCATTTCACGATTTGAATAACCGTAACAGCGGGAAAAGACCCACGAGATTCATTACTTTACCTCCTGACAAGCAGTTACGAAAATACTTAGGAATCTACTTTGCATTTGTAAAAGGACTGAAGACCTATAATAAATTAATTCAGTATTATTTGACTTACGACAATCAGATGAGAAAATAGTTTAACAACGTTGAATAAAGCTTTTTGCATTATATTATGCTTTTATTCTAGTTTGTTTCAGATTTCAACTTAAAATCCTTCATCAGCAAACCATATTATAGTACATAATAAAAGAATTAGTATTTTTTTAAATATTTTTAATTGAAAAATCATTGTTCAACAACAATGTGTAGAATAAAAATATAAGATAGAGGGTAACCTTTTCTTACATCTCTTCTCCCACCAATATTATTATTAATTACGTATATGAGAGATTTTCTGATAAAAGATTTAAAGTTCCAAAAGGAAACTGACACCTTGTATATTAGAAGTACAATATGCAATAAAAATGTATTCAAAAATTTACTTCATGTAATAACTTTTCTTCATTCGATGTACTTAATCAGAGGAATTCTACATTCAGTAATTGACATTCATCACTCAATCATTTATTAATAAATAAAACTACTACAGAGGTAATATAACGCAATTAAACTGAAAATGCGTAGTACAAGGGGGGGGATTACGAAAAACCGGTGAATGTCACTTGTGTTAGTGGCACTTTCCTGGACAGGAAGATGACTCCTGATTGCGCGTCCCGGCCCCAGCAGCAAGGCGGCTCGGCGTCGGCGTCAACGGCGGCGCGGGCCCAATCGATAGGGCAGTCGAACGCGCTATTAACGCAAAAGTGCTTTTTCGATTTTTAATTTTTAACGCAGAGTTTCTCCTTAACCAATTCCTCAAAGGTGTCAGCCTCGACGGCGGCGGCGCCACCGACACCGCGCTTTCCGTCCTAAAAGCAAACCGCGCCGCGACGTCAGTGGACTGGGGAGGGCGTCGCGCCGATGTTGATATTTGTCGCGTGGGCGGCGTGGGAGCGGACTCCTGCGGCGGACCGGGCAACGTTGTTCGATCAGTGACGCACGTCAATTGATAGCGCCGCAGCCCGCGTACTATGTTTCGAAATGGATTCAACGAATTGTGATTCCGGGCGCTACGCCTGCTAAGGTCATTACTTCCGTAAATGTTGCACATCTTTTTTTATCACCTGAAGTGGTGGTGGTGGTGGTGATCTTGAAGGAAACAAACCTTCGTCAACGCCTTACCTATTTTTTCATAATGCTATCTAACAGTAAAAAGATCGTAATAGTTGACAGTAGATATCATGATACTTGTGCCAGTACTAGAATCATGATATCTACATTTATTGTATGACCAGAAAGATACAGTGAAATCAAGTTTTAGTTAAACGTATTTACAACAAATAATTAAGTTATGTATTTTTGTAATTAATGTACTGTAGTTTTGGAAAAAGTGAAAATCTGTAATTTTATAATATTAATAATTAGTGGATCGCGAGAACAGCTTAATTTTTATGACCGTCCCGCCTTTTATAAATTCGCATTTCCCGGCCTTCTACCCTACACAGACCTAAACATGTGAAAACATTGCATTAAACCGGAAACAAAACACATTTCTAAATTAATTTTACGTCTTTCTTTCCACGAGCGTATTGCAGCCTCACGTGCCCTTTGCCACGCGCTTCGCTTCGAAGCTCGGAAACAATGTCTCCTATTACTCGTAAATGGTATTCTTAAGTCATTAGTCCATGGTTGCACTGCCATGGGGGAATTTGTGCCTCTTCGCGCGCCGAATAGGATGAATTCAAAACTCTGCATAATTCACGCAAACAGCAAACGTGTCTAATTCCGATTCGACATACATATATCATACTTAATTCATTCGACGTAACCACTTAAACAGAGGTATTACAACGAGGAAGGATCACCATGATAACTTTTTCAACCCTGTTTAACGTGCGCAACAATAAGAATGGGTCGGATCGAATAAATAAGATTCCTTTTTATTAGTCACGCACTACAAAAACGTTTATACTGAATCAACAATCATTACTTTTGTTACAAGGCCGTGGAGAGTAAGGCCCGTATTCCTCCATGGTATGCAACCGAATTACTTGTATTGTGCATTTCTACTAAAAACAGAACTGTAGAACGTTCGCAGTAATCAAAGCGCACCATCAGGCAAATTGTGTTTGCACCAAACGCCTCAATTGGATTGAGAAACTTAAACCATTACCGAAACCGAAGCCCATTTTGCGTGAAGAAAAGGACTTGTAAATGATCCAGGGTCTAGAGCTGGGATGCGGGTTACTGGCAAGAACAAGCAGCGAGGGGGAGGAGGGGGAGAGGGAGGGCCGAGGGAGAGACCGACAGGCCGTCGAAGGGGGGACCGAATTGGGCCCGCGATCTGCTTACTCCGGCAGCCTTTCGATTGCTCGCGCGAAGGGGTTGGGCCTGGGCTGCGCCGTGACCGGCACACACAGGGCCGCGAGGAGTGGGCGGGGCCGGGGCAGAAACGGTCGCGGGGCTGTATGGGCAGAATGAGATGGAGGCGGGGGACGGAAAGAGACGCAAGGGGTGGGAGCTATTTGTACCGAGACGGAATGGAGCAGTCAGAGACGGTGAGAGAGGGAAGCGAGAGCGGAAATGGAGGCAAATATAGCGGAAGCGGCGCTGGGAGGGCGTTGGAAGCGGAGAGCGCCAGAGGTGGCAGAGACGGAGACCTGGCGGTGTCGAAGGCAGTGACAGGTAGTGGAGGGGCGGAGGCGGACACTGTGAGGCAGGCGGGGGATGGTGCCGGGCCGAAGCGCGTAGCGGGTGGGGAGCGCGCGGGCCCGTAGCGAGCCGCTGAGTGCGAGATGCATAATGCCATGCGCGGCGTGGAGGGCGGCGGGGCGGGCTGGGCGGGCGCGGTAACAACTGTTTGAAGATCAATTTCCCGCCGCCAGCGCCTCTGCCCCCGCGGACGGCCCATTTCAATCCGGTTCTCTTCGGGCGTCGCTTTCAAACGCGCTCAGCTCTCTGCTCAAGCACGCCTCGACGCCTAATATTTAGAATATGATAAGGCACTCTGCCTGCGCCCTGCACCTCGCCCACGCCTCGACCCGCTCCACCCAACCATGCGCCGCCTCCATCCTCTGCCGTCACCCCCCCGCCCTAAACGCCGCATCGTCGCATCCAATCAATCGCGATCTGGCGCTCCCACCCCCTTGCCCACCAGGGTTCCTGCGCCGTACCACCTGCCCATGCCGCTGCCAGGTATCGCTTGACCATTATCCCGGTCCTCTCCTCCCCCTCAACGTGAGCAACTGCCACCTAACATTAGCTATTTCACTTCAATTTCCTCGTTCATACTCCTCTACACACACGCAAATTAATATTTAATTTAGGCTTGAAAATATTTAGTTGAGAGATCAATCTTTCCTCTTAGTCGACGCCAACGTAACTGGACTTTTCATTGTCACGTTGGGTATAGAGCAACAAATTATCGCAACTAATTTAACAAACGGATTGAAAGCATTTAAGAATGTTTTGCCTCGATAACATTTCAATAGAGGAAATTTTGTTAACAGACGCACTGGGTCCAGGACGGAAGAAAAAATGTTGGCATTTTAGACGCTTCGAGGAGTGCGCAACACGATTCTGAGTACAGAGTTGTTGCTCCATAAAGTGTCCGTTAATCCTTAGAAGATTAAATGAAAGTAACGAATAAGAACGGCACACACACGTAATTTTCTAAAGAGTATTCAGACGAATAAAAACGTCGTACATATGAATTACAGCCCGGCCCTACTCCCGTACCAAGTCAACTACCAATGAATTTAAAAATAAAGCAAAATTTTTCTATTGTATTGTAACTGCTGTCATTCCATGGCATTTAACTCCGTGTTTCTAAAGATCATTGTCAGTTTATTCGATATGGATTAAAAAAGACAACACTGAATCATGCTGCCACATATCACTATTTGACGCACGCACACGCCGAAAGTGGGATGCCTCCGAAGGCGACCACACCTCCGCTCACCACATCCTCTCCTCTCGAATAAAACCATCGCAGATCCAATCTCCCACTAGGAAAATCAATCAGTAAGTGGTGCTCCCGTTCGCTGTCTTGAGTAGGGCTAGCTATTTCAAAGCATCTGTGTACGGGGATGGGCAAAGAGCGGTGCGCCAAGACTATCGAGGGAAGGGTGGCTCTGGGGCCTATCGCAGAGGGGATGGGTGAGGCGGGGCGGGGAGAGGCGGGCGGGGAGAAGGCGGGGTAGACGCGGGCGGCGAGGGCAAGTCGGCGAGGCCGAGGCGGGTCGCAGCGGCGAGGCGGGCAAGTGGCGGCGAGGCGGGGCGGAGACTCCGGCGGGGACGGCGGGCGGCGGACGGCGGGGCGGGAGCGGGGCGGGTGCGGCGGGGCGGGGCGGCGGGGGGGACGGCGGGGCGGGGCGAAGGCGGGCGGGTTCGCGGGCGGGACGCGAGGCGACGTTCGCAGGCGGGACACGCGGGCGCGAGACTCCGAGGCAGAGGCACGAAGCAAAGCGAGGAGGCAATATGTATGAGGGGCGGCCTGACTGCGCTGTTCGGCGCGGCACGGAGCTGGTCGCGTGCCGACAGCGCGCGCAAGGTTGTTTCCGCCCCAAGGAAGCCA